CAAATGCATGATTTATATATATCACTACACATACATAGTAGTACTTTTTGTTCACCTCAGCTTTAATTATGTAAATGATTTGATGCAGTTAGTAATTATGGAGAACTTTGTAGGACCAATCTTGGAAGTTGTGAAATTTGTTGGTGATCCAGCTGTGAGATATCTGAAATATCAGATAAAATTCAATGATTATTTAGAAGAATACAAAATAGGCAAAGAAGACTTGTGTCTTCGAGAGCGTCACATCAGATCAAGATTGGACACAGATCTTCAACGTCCATGGAATGTTGCAAATGAGGAAGTGGAAAAATGGTTGGAAGATGTGGAAGAGTTTATTGCAAAACAAGATGTTGAAGATGAAGTGAACAACCATGGATGTCTCTCATGTTGTTGTCGAGTGAAGATTCTAGAGGAAAGGACTCAGCAATTGAAGGAAATTTATGACAGAGGGGATGCATACACTAATGAGTGTTTGGTCGTTGAAGATCAATCGAGAAAACTCGACGTTTATGTGAAGGATTTTAAGGACTTGAAAGAGAAACTTGAAGGTTTTATAAAACACTTAATCAAATTAAGAATTATAAACAAATTATTAGTCCTCATGATGCAAATATGTTCATGTAAAAATTAGGAAAACTCACAGAGATTTCACACACGCAAAATCCTCCAAAAGTTCACACGCGATGCCTCAATTCTGTCTTCTAAAGAAGTGATGGCTTCTCCTCCCACTAGCTTCTGTTTTTCTTGTAAAAACTTAGATACTCTATTGACAAATCAATAGGTCTTATATATTGGGAGCTTGTATAGTTAGACTAGAATTATAAATAGCATGTTGCATGGGACTCTTTTTGGGATCTTAATCTCTTAGCAAATTGAATTTAAATCAATTTAGGATTGTAATCAAAAACCCATCAGTAGATAACAATCTTATCCAAGAAATTATAAATAAATTTGTGAGATCCCTCAAACCACAATATTTACATAGTAGTCCTCCACCAACTAAAATTCCATACAAAGTCTAATCGAATTAGAATTCTTTATAAAACTGTCATCTAACCTTTGTATGTGTGTCTCTTAAATATATTTAGACAATAAAACAATTTAGAAAATAAAATTTTGATAAAATTTAATTTTCTAAAACTAAGTTAAAAATATTTATTTAAACTGACCGGCAGGATTTTTATCTAATATAAAAGAGACACAAACTTGAATATTCTCTCTTACAATAAGAGTGGTGGTTCCTTATTAGATGACTATAAATCTTCATGTACTTATTATCCAGTCCAATATGTCCGTATATATCCCATTTATTGGGCATCACCGGTTAACAATATCAAAACTAAATAACTTATACATAAGAGTAAATAACATCTTCAAGTCTAAGAACCTTTTATGAATTGTGGATAGAATAATCTTTTATTTGACAGTAAATAACTTAAGATTATTCTATATGGTCCAGTTCAATATTTGTCTTCTACAAATACTCGCTATGTTATTAAGAGTCTAACTCTAGTGGTTGAAATTTACCACTCTATCACTTATGGTAGTACAACATGTGACAACCATGTTAAGCATATTATTCAAAGTATGCTTATAATTGTGAACAATTTTAAGATCATCAAACCTTTTATTTGATCATCTCCATAATCAATTTAATTAATATATGATCTAAGAATAATAACATTTATTAAATCACCCAAAAGAAAAGTATACAAGTAAATAAATAAATACTAATGATGGCTTTGTTGGGCATATAATTCTTTCAAAACTGCAATGCAAACAACGTGACATTGATTCAACATTACAGTCACAACTTGGCTATGGGAAAATTGCTAAGGAGGAAGTTAAAAAGTGGCTGAAAAATGTGGAAGAAATAACTGGCCGTGTTGCCAATGATATTGAAAATCAAATCAATAGAAGTCAAAGTCTCTCAAATGCTTCTGCTTGCCTCGCAAATCTACTCAATGAAAAGATTCAAGAAATGAAAAGAATGTATGAAGGAGGTAGATTAACAGGGAGTTTGGTCGTGGATGATCCATCAGCCTCAGCAGTTGAATTGCCAACATCAGAATTACAAGGCAGCAGGGATGTTAAAGCAGAAATATGGGCGTGCTTGATGGGAGATACGGTAGCAAAGGTTGGAGTTTGGGGGATGGGAGGCGTTGGGAAAACAACAAT